TCTTGGCCAAATATCACACAGCACTATGCACCACTACAGCAACTCAGCAACTCAATTTCCAACACTTGATTAGAGCTAAATGAATTGCTACAGTGGTTAATTCTGAATTATCACAGAAGCAACTAGTTTCCTCTATAGGACGGCTGGGCTATGTAAAATAAGTGAGTGCAATCCTTGTCTCCTGAGAAACCAGGATCTCCAGATATCCAGAAGGAGCTCAGAGGAGAGCCTCCTTTCCTTTGTGTCAAAGGCAGCCTGCTGAGGTGGCTGGAGCATCTAATCAGAATGTCTTATGGGCACCTTCACTGTGGAGATTTTCCAGGCACACAGCTGACGGGAGACCTCGGTGTAGATCTAAAACTCACTAGAGAGATTATTAATCTCATCCGACCTGCGAGTACCTCAGAAACCTCCCACGGGAAACTGGAAAATGCTACTCGGGAAACAAATGTCTGCTTAACCTGCTGCCATCGCAACGTGGATAAACGGAAGAAAATGTTGGGATGAGGATGAATATCATGTATAAATAAAAGTGAATGTTTCCTTTTATGTCTGCTGTTGCCATTTCCAGCATGTCATTAAAATTTGATCTCATCTAATAAGGTCACTTCATAGTCCATCTGAAATGTCACGTCATGTTGACAGAAAAGGCTAGTGGGAATAACACACACACTCATATCCTGTGTGTGTGTGTGAGTGTGTAACAGACACTGGTATCTATTCAAAACAGTCTTGACTATGACTTAATAGCCAAACTCTAAAATCAAAATGTAAATTCAGTGGTTTCGATTATGTGGAGCAAAACCCTGTGAAAAATCTGTGTGTGCGCTTCGAAGCTGCAGGATGCCATCGCTGTGGTAACTGATGCCGAGCTGCAGTGAGAGGAACTCGAGTGGCAGGCAGGGAGCCGGGTCACAGAAGAAGCAGGGGGTGCACAGGAAATTAAGCCCGCACATACTATAACCACGTTAAAACCGTCCACCACAGCCTGAACATAGGCTCCTCAGTCACAGCGTGAAGGCCGACATGGTAAAGGTAATACTCTGAGGTATGTTCAGACTGTGCAGTGTTTTTGCAGTATTTGCGAGAATGTCGACATAGCGAATATTAAATCATCCCTTACTGTTAAAAACATTTTTAAAGAACATTTTTGAGGTTTTTTTTATAACTGTCCAGCTTTCATACCAACAGTCATATAAAAACAAACAGACATCACGATTCAACGTGTGTTAACGGAAATAGATAACATCAACTCGCATGACAGCAGCTATCAGACCACAGATTATCATCTCCTGTAAACAACATTACTTGTGCTGCCTGTCTTGAATTAGCTGAAACCATAACAGAACAGCTAGGTATGCATTTCAGCTGTTTCCGTGAATCCCACTGTGAACCCCCACTCCAACCGACCCGAAGCACAGATACAGAAATGATATGGTTCTTCGTGACTACAGACAAATTTCACTAGGTTTTATGGAACAAATCGCTCACCACATCAAGGTGGACCGCA